TATAAAAAGGTGTTTCAAACCTTTCCCACACTTGTGCAATATTCTAAACAATGTTTCTAAACTCTAAAAGAGCACAGCATGTCATGATTTCAGCTCTCTGCCATCTGAAACTGCTTTTGGCCACGCCCACTTCTCCAGTGCAGAGCGGAGAGATGACACCTGCAGAAGGAAACTTCTCCTGTGGTGTGGGCTGCACACAGGTGCAGCAGGTGCTAAATAATGTATTTTAAATAAAAAGTCCATGCCGATCGCGCGGCTCATCCATCAGTCAGCCAATTGTGTCATGTCCAATCTTATTATGAAAAACTGTGATAGAGCGTGACTGTGATAAATGAAGCGTGAAGTAGCGAGGGACCACTGTACAGTTTTTTTGTTGGACTTTAGCTGCCTTTTCACTCATTTTCAGCCCAGTTTTGATCATTTTCAGAGGGATTTTTGTTTATGTTTTTTGTTTAGGGCCATTTAAGTCTGAACTAGTAATCATTCAGGTATGAATAGATTCATAAATTCAATCAATGAGCCAAAGCTGTAGACAACTTAGCAAAGAATAATCTGTTAGCAGCAGTCTGTCACAGTCTGTCATTTGTTCCTACAGACAGTTTGAACATATAACATAGTATTTTAGGTCCAACAAGGGGATTCTCAAAATGCAATCAGCTAAAAACTTATGTTATACAGATTTTTCCACCTTTCTTCCTAAAAACATGACTTTCATATACCACTCATTTGCTGTAGATAGTGCTTTGGCCTTACATTTCTTTCATTCTCATTTTTTTTAGCTCGCACTGCACACGATGCTGTCATGATCAGCTCATAGAAGTGACCTAAAGTGAGAGAAGCAGCCAAGGCAATCAACAGACCACAATCAGAAAGAAACATTTTCTGCTGCAACAGGTCTGATGTCATTTTGGACAGAACGTCAATCGGTGTTAAACTTAAGGAGGTTTTTCAAACAGCGAGACAAAGGGATTCCCCAGAAACTACATGTGGACCTCATCACCACCTGGACTGGTCAGTACCAGTAACTGGAACCAGATCTTTGAGATATAATATGCTGTATAAGGTGTTAAAAACAATAAATAACATATTCAGCGTATGTAACTAAAGCTCTGGGGGATAACTATAAGCATGTGGTGCCTGGACAGCATTTAAATCATTAATTACAACATGCAAAGTTAAATTCAAACATCTTCTTTCTGAGGATTAAATCTGAGTTTTCTGAGCTACTCATCAATCTTTTACTGACTGCTGTACAGTAGTCCCTCAACAGTTTGCGGTTCCAGTTCTGCAGACACTATCATGGTTTGTGGACGTATAGTTCATAATATTGTACAAATAATTGTACACATCACATGATTGTGGACTGTACAGTAATATCACTGTACTCACATGGTTGGGAAAAAGTTAATGACAAAAAAAATAATTGGGACAGGCGCTGCCATTTTGTAGTTTTCTTTTAATAATTCTACAAAGTATACAGCATCGCCAGTCCAAAAGAACTTCAGTACCCACAAGGCAACAGTGCACTTCCCAGAATTCAACAGTGCTTCCAGCCGCTACTTTCTGCCAAAATAGAAGAAAAGTTTTGACCCGATCTGAAACTGACTAAAAAGGTTGGTCCTTATTCATAGTGACTTTGGCACTTAGAGCTGATCAGAACCGGACCAAGGCTGGTGAGTCCCCATATACAAGTTTAAAGTAGCTACTGTGCAGTACATACTGCATATGTATGCTGTTAAAATGACGAAGGTTTAAGTAAGATGCACATGCGAACATTTAACACTTGCGTGCACGAGTCATTACATGCTATAGAGCCTGAGCGCAACCTGTTGTGTGTCGCTGGTCTACTGTGACAGACACACAGAAAAGGAAGGGAGGGGTCGGGGGGCAGGGGGTCTGTCTGTCACATAGCTGCTGCTGTCTGTGGGAGCCTCAGTGAGGTGGATACCTGAGTGAGCAGCATGGATTGTTTATTAAAGTATTATTATTATTTAAAATAACCAAGTGCAACTTGAACCAAGCCTTTGGTCCAGCTGCTCGGTGATCACGGAGCGGGTCAGGCCACCGGGAAATGTCTCAATGGCCAGTCCGCCACTGAGTTAAAGAGTTTAGAACATTGAAAGAGTGTAGGAATGGTTTCTAAAGTCTTAATACATATAAATACTAACACACACACACACACACACACACACATATATATATATATATATATATATATATATATATATATATATATATAATAATAATGTCATCACAATGTCAGCACTGTATGTTTCCATACAATGGCGAAATTAGTCTCTGCATTTAACCCATCCACCACCAGGTGGTGCAGTGGGCAGCTATTGAAAGCGCCCGGGGGACATTTTATATATATATATATATAATGTCGCTACTTCGTGAAATTTCACTTACTGTGGGCAGGTTCAGAACTGAATCCCCGCAATAAATGAGGGACTACTGAATGTGTGTGAGACAAAGTGGCCTTCAGCTGAAGGGGAATTTTTTTATTACAGTAATTTACTATTTAAGAACCTTAATTTAACCAGACACATTCCAATGAGATCACAGATCTATTTTTTTTTACCACTAAGCCACTGTGCTGCCCAGATGAAGGTGTTTTCAGTTATTCCCCCAGAATGAATCAAACCCAGTCTGATCATCAGCTCATTCAGACTCAGCAGGTTGAATCATTTATTTTCTGCACTCTCTCAGAAGAGTGAGTCCCATTGTTTCAATTTAACCAGTCTCAAAAGAAAAGCATGCAGTCTTCTTCACATTACCTTCTATCACACAGTGCTCTGGCACTGGGATCTGCCGCACCATGTTCTTACAGAACTCTTTTATCATCTCCATGTTGTCTTGTAAATAGATGAAGAGTTTATCATCTTCCTCCTCCTCCTCCTTCCTTCTGTTCACTCCTCCACTCGGAGCAGTTTCAGTCTTCCGTTTGGTGTCTGCGTTTGGTGGAGCTGTGACAGGCTGGAAGCTGTCACCTGTCAGTCTCCTCTCAGATGATAAAACTTCACAGTTTTTGGGGTGCTGAGTAGACAAGGTGTTGGAGAAGCAGCTGTCAGGGTTTGGCTCCGCCCCTTGACAGTCCTCCCCTGTGTCTGAGTTGATGGAGCGCGAACGCACTATATGGAGAGCCAGGCTCTTTGATCTGAAAGATCATGACACAAAAACAAGGTGCTGCGTTATCAATAAATTGTTATACAGTAGTCCCTCGTTTATCGCGGCAGATCTGTACCCTGAAGCCCTGCGATAAATGAAAAACCACGAAGTAGGAATAGTAGTACAAGTAGAAAGTAGTAGTTTATTTTTATTACACACACAATAAATATATATAAAGGCATTTTAAACCCTTCCCACACTCTTGCAATATTCTAAACAATGTTTCTAAACGCTCTAAAAGATCACAACATTTTCAGCTCCCTGCCTCCTCTGCTCTTTGCCACCTGCAAGCGCTCTTGGCTACACCCACCTCTCTGTGGTGGGTGTGGCCAAGTGAACAGCTGATCAGCTGCAGCAGGAAGTTTATCCTGCAGTAAGGGCTTCACAAATGTGCAACAGGTGCTAAATAATTTAAAATAATTTATGTTAAATATAAAATCCATGTCGATCGTGCAGCTCATCCATCAATCAGCCAATTGTGTGCCATGTCCAGTCTTATTTTGAAAAACTGCGATAGAGCGACTCCGTGATAAACGAACCGCGAAGTAGCAACAGACTACTGTATATGTTTTCCTGTTTTTTAAACATCCATACTTGTTTGTAGTAAATGTTTTTAAAGATTACTTGGACAACATAGTTGTATGGAGAAAAAACTGGTGCAAAAATAGTGTGACTGGTGAGTTCTGCACTGGGTAGGACTAACATCTATATTTCTCAAGCAGTAAGAAGCTCGGGGGTTGCTAGTGCCGTTATCCAGCAGCCACTGTGCGAGAGACGGGGGACACCCAGGACAGGTTGTTAATCCATCAGAGTCACGGGGGACACAGCTGCTTCACTGCATCAAAGGAGTCGGCTTAAGTTGTTCATCGGATTAGGATGAGCTGTTTTTGGCAAATCCTTTGAGAGGAGACCCTGAGAAGAATTTAGAACCTCCTGGAGAAGTCCATTTTTTCTCTGACTTGGGAACACCTCAGGATCCCCCATAATGAGGACTGACTGGGTTTCTCTTTTTGAACCGCTGACTTTTGACCCACCATTTAATAAGTGGTTGAAAGTGGCTGACATAAAAACATTATGTCTTGATGGGGGCTGAGATGGTGTAGAGGTAGGGCATGCCCACATGTCGTGGTGTCCTTGAGCAAGACACCTAATTCCTAATTGCTCCCCGGGTGCTCGCATAGCTGCCCACTGTTCCACCTGGGTGCATCTCAGGTGTGATGGGTTAAATGCAGAGAACTCATTGCAATGATGACAACAAATGGCACTTGTATAATTTTCAGTGCACTACAAAAAAAATGTGGATACAAGAAAGTTTGCATCAATTTACCTTTTACTGTTTGAAAGTTTTTTTAAATTCTAATATGTTTTAAAGCACAAGAAACAGATCTAAGTGTTTCTAGTAAGGTGCCACGCTGGAATCCAGGCTTACTGGATGAACAGCAAGATTAAAAAAAGTGTTTTTGGACTCCTTGCATCATAGTTCACACCAGTTAGTATATATATATATATATATATATATATATATATATATATATATATA